TAATTCACTGGAAGGACTCACAGAACTCAGAAAAACCATTATACTCAGGGTTATTGCAACAAAGGGACACGGATTAAAACCAGCCAAGGGAAGAGGTGCATGGGACATGGTCTAGGAGTCACCAGACGGGCTTTTAGATGTCCTCTCCCAGTGGATCTGTGTGGAGAGAGGGCACTTCCTCCCAGCAACAATGTATGACAATAAACAAGGAAACTCACCTGAGCTCTGGTGTCCAGAGATTTTATTGCAGTTCGGTCATGTAGGCATGGATGACCCCTGTGTGGCTGACCTTAGTCTCCAGTCCCTACAGAGGGCAAGTTGACATGCATGACCCAATGCCCCCAGCCTACATCATGTCATGAGCATAGACTACCTGGGGTGGATGAAGACCCCCACCATAAATCATGTTGTTCTCATAGACTGTCTGGTGTGGCCCAAAGCCTCCAGGTTAACAGAGACACTCATCTCAGGCAGGACCTTCCAAGGGCTTAGAGGTTGCCTCCCAGGAGCTGAGGGTAAAGACCAAACCTCTCTTTGGGCAAGGTTAATCCTTTACTGCACATATGGCAAACCCTTTGAGGATATAAAGTAGGTCATGCCAGGGCTCCCCATCACACTGAAATAAAACCCAGTTCCCTGCCCTAATCCACAGGCCCTCTTGGTCACTATGTTCCAAGCACTCTTTCCTGGCTTTGCTCCAGCTGCTCCCATTGCCTGACTGTTCTTTCCCCAGATCTGCACATAACTGGATCTTTCTTGACATATGGGTCTCAGCTTCATAAATGTCATTTCCTCAGAGGCCCCTTTTCTGTCTACCCAAATTGAGTCCCTGAGTCAGCCCCTCTCACGTCACCGCGTTATGTGTTCGTCCTAGCAGGGCACTGCCATCGTTTTCTAGCTCATTCATCTGTTTATCATCTGTCGGCAGTCTCCATGTGAGTGCTCTGAGAGTAAGCTTCCTGACTTTTTCTCTGTCCCAGCACCTAGAACATACTGGACCTGAAGGAAGTGCTCAGTGATTCACTGAATGGGTGAATGAACAAATAATGGATGAATAAATAAGCCTTGCAAATGCTGGTTTAAACAAAATTAAATAGAACTCTTTATGGCAAGACCTTCAGAGCCCTTAATATACCAATAGGGATCCTGAAACCCTGAACTGCATCATATATTCATGTTCCTGGGAGCAGTTTTGGGGGAGTATCTATGTCGAAACTTTGCACTTTTAAGGAATCAGATTCATTTTCAAATACAACTCACATATAACTAACATTGTAAAGAAAAGTACATCCAGTGGATGGCACAGATTCTTGAAATTTCTTTAATTATTACTGTTTCTGCTCCATCCCTTAGAACTCTGCTGTCTGCTAACTAATCTGATAAATTAATTTGCACTTAGGTATAAATGTGTAATACTGCCTTAGGATCCCTTTTATTTATTATATTGAATGCCCAGTGTTACTAGAAGCAGGGTACAAAAATAATGACAGTGGTGGGCTGGTTAAAGGTGATTTCCAGGATAGAAGCATTTGATGTCCCTCAAGTTACATCCTAGAAATGCCCATTTATGCCCCTTTACATAATTTTGATTGACCAGATCCTACATGACAGAATTGGAAAGTCCTTCGCAACAATATGATTGAAGCGGTGGTGTTTATTGGGGTGGGTTTTTTTTGTCGTTTTTTTTTTCCTTTTTGTCTTTTTTCGTGTCTGGCAACGGATCGCAACCCTCGGTGTTGAGCCCGCACCTCGCTCAGCCAGTGAGCGGGAACTGGTCTGTATGTGGGCTCCGAACCCTTGGCGGGAGCGCCGCCGTACTCCCAAGCGGCGCACTGTAGCAGTGCGCCACCGGGCCGGCCCTTTTTTGTCGTTTTTTGTGACCAGTAAGGGGATTGCAATCCTTGGCTTGGTGTCACCTGCACCGCGCTCATCCAGTGAGCGCACCGACCATCCCTATATAGGATCCAAACCCGCGGCGGGAGCACCACTGCCCTCCCAGCGCCACACTCTCCCGAGCGAGCCACGGGGTCGGCCCTGAAGTGGTTTTTAAAAATTCTTTCTGTTGACTGGATGAACTTATGCTATAGAAAGTTGTGTTATTTCCATTTGAAACTTAGAACGGATGAGGACTACACATTTATCTTTAGATACTAAAGATCCTGAATTCTTTCTTTCCGTAGAAATCAGGTATGTGGTTGTTGCTGCTGTGCACAGCTCACTGGGGCGTGTTCCAGATGCCCCTTCTTCCACTTTGCTCTCCTTCAGTGGGGACTGGATGCCAGGCACTGTAGACAAGAAACCAGAGAGGCTCTGGATGATATTTTCTCCTGCCAAGGCTTAGTTTTTGTTAGAGCCAGTTCATGTTAGTTTTGTCCTTCCTCCTAAGGCACAGTCCCTCCTGGCCTCTCCACCTTCGTGAGATTTGAACTCTAATTTTTACTCCCCAGTTGATACGTGGCTCCTCCCACATGGCAAGTTGGCTTGCCTCACTCCCTATGGTGACTCTTTTTTGAGCAGAGTGTATAATTACTGAGACCCCAGAGGCTGTGAATTCCCTTCAAACCCTGTGTCATATGCTCTGCAATAGTCCCCAACTTCTGCATGTGGAGACTTGGAGTTCTAATTAGAAGTTCAAAGCATTCCGCATTATACACCACTATGCTGAGAACTCAGCCTTGGAAAAAGGGCTTGGGTGCCTCTGCTCTTGGCCAGCCAGTATCCGCGTGTCCATAATGTCCAAACGGACACTCCTATTCGTGTCTCTATCACTGGCCACCTCCTGAGTATACCGGTTAATCCTTGCACAAATTTTAAGTAAGTCCTGAAAATAGTTGCTTAGACATATAAATTACTGCCACAGGATATATTTACAGTCAAGATTTTACAGATATATGCCTTGATAAATGTGTTTTTATTTGCTATGAATAATTTCTGCATAGTGCCACTGAAAAAGTGTAATTCACATTTCCATTAAGAAGGAGGCAGCAGGGGTGCACAGAGCTGTCAACTATCCTGTAGCTCTGGTCAGGGTCACTCTGGGGTTGATTAGTCTGGGATGAATTTGGGGGAATTAGGCTGCTTTAGCAGAAAAACTATTGGCTAAACATAACAGTTAGAAAACCCCTTTCCACAGCCTGAAATACAGACACGAGAGACAAAATTGAAACCAGAGCACAGTTCTCCAGCCAAGACTCTCACGCTGAAATCCATTGGCAAAAGGAAGGCCTGATGGTAGGTTTCCTCAGAGGACGCCAAACTGCCGAGCTGTGCTGAGCCTGTCAGCCGGCTCCCGAGGGCCCTGTGCTCAGCCTGTCTTCTCTGCCAGGTGTGTGCACAGGTCTGGAGGTATGGAGAGAATATCAGGGGAAGTGACTAATACAGTCCCTGCTCTCAAGCTACTGGTGGTGAGAACGGCTGAGACAGACCTGGGCTCACAAGCGTCTGACGTCGGGTGACCCACACAAGGCAGTGAATGGCCCCTACTCCTTCTCCCCCAGCTCAGGGGAGGGCCCCTTCTGCCCAAGTATTTCCCATCATTGACATCCTGTTTTCTGGAGTCTGTTGTGTCAGAATCCCTACTGCTCCCAGTAAACACAGCCCCCACTCCACCTCACAGCTCCTCAGATGTGTCCTTCATAAAGCCACCACGGTTCCCAGCCCCCAGAGCCATCCACCCGGCTGGGCCCTGCTCCTCCCCTCCCCTTGCCCTGCGTCAGGGTTCCCAGGGCGCAGCACCTCAGAGCTGACAGTTCAAAGCTTAGAGCAACTGGAAGGTCAGGGCTCCTTTTATTACTATTCCAACCATATTGTGGATTCAGTAGACTTTGGTGAGTGGCTGAGAATCCTACAATCTTTTAGAGCATTGAGAAATTTCTGGAGGAAGTTTCTATGACTAACAAGTATTGTTCTTGGATTTTGCCTTGTTTCAAAAAATTAAGAACCAACAAATTTGGAACATAATCCATCTGTGGGTCATGTGTATATGCATATAAAATCAGAAACATTAAACAGAGATGTGCCCATAAGAGATGGAGAGAGACACATGTCATGACCAATGTGACTTAAACCAGATGTGATCAGCTGGGCAATGTTTAGGGTGGGGGGGCTGCGGGGAGCAGGATCCCAACGTGGCAGCGAGAGCGCAGTGACATGTACAGTACCTTGGAAGTGGGTAGAGTTAGAAGTGGGTAATTATAATTTGTGTATTTTATCTTATCCTTCTATCATGCTGCTGCACAGGCTCCTTGTTCCTCACCGACCTGCTCCTGACTCCGGCCTTCCGCTTCTCCTCCGGCGCACGTGCATCTGTTCTTAGTGCATTTGGGGCAGGCAGTACAGCCGCCTGCTCCGAGCTTTTGTGACCCTGGCAGTCGTATGTGCTGCTGTTAATTATCTTTTAAAACACGGATGAGGTGGACGGGAAATGCTAAGAGCAGACGCAACCACAGCTCAACCCCTGTGCTGCTCTGCAAACTGTATTTTCTTATCAGGCTCAGGGCCAGGCCCCCAGGCTGCTGGCTGAACATCACAGTTAGAAAACCCCTTTCCACAGCCTGAGATACAAACACGGAGATAAAACCGAAACCAGAACACAGTGGCGGTGCAATTGGGCGGCTGTGGGGACCAGCCGGTCAGGCTGCGTGTGTCCCATACTGTCCACAAATGCAGAGAAGGGTGGAACCAGGTGGTTCAGGTTAATCCCCAACTCTCGTCTGTCTTCACTTCCAAAATTGCTCATAAGATCAACTGTATGGTGTGAAGTGTGGCAGGCAGGAGATACAGTTCCTTTTGGGACTGGACCCCCACAGTCTGGGTCCCTCATTCTGAGCCCCTCTTCCTGTCAGTCCTGTGAAGTGGCCTCCGCCACTTGTCTTTGGTGCCTGAGCCTCGTGACAAATAAGGCACCGTTTATCAGAATGCTGTGTAGGCTGAGGAGCAGCCCGAAAAGAAGAGCTTTCTTGTGGAGCTGTTAATTACAACCATTTTAAATTCCAAAAATAATGTGTACCTTTTACAAAATTGCAGATTGCCGTATCCCTCAAATTGAAGATGCCGAGATTCACAACAAGACGTATAGACATGGAGATAAGTTAATCATCACTTGTCACGAAGGATTCAAGATCCGTTACCCTGACCTGTACAACATGGTTTCACTATGTCACGATGATGGAACGTGGGATAACCTGCCCATTTGTCAAGGTACGGGATGGAAGCTGCGCTTCTCAGCTGGTCTTCTCTGGGGCGTTATTGTAGACCACGTACGTGTTTTTCTGATAGAGGGAAAGAGATGGTGGGAGGAAAAACAGAGCCGTCCAGCCCACGTGGGTCCAGCTGTACCTTCACCATGATTTTCTCGAAGTCATGAAATCATCGTAATCACTCCTAGTAGACTGCTCAGCTCCACCATACACCCAGTTTTAAAGTATAAACAGGAAAGACCTCATTCTTTAGCATGTTAGATGTTTCCTTTACTCTAAGTGAGCAAATGTAGTTTAAGAATTAGGAGACTTGTAACTGGGCTGTGAACACAATGATAAATTATTGTATATTTAATGGAAATAACAGGGCATTTATACTTATATCAATATGATGAGAATATAGTTAAAGCCTGTCTTACAGAGGCTATTTTCTCTTAATAATGTTATCCTTTTTTATAACGCATGGAGAGCAGAAAAATGACCAAACTCAAATTTCATCCAAACCACACAATGAATATTTATCCTCTTGCATTTATAAATTTGCTTGGGCCAACATAGAGGGCCCTATTTGTAGAAATAAGCCCTCAAGTTCACATTAATTCTGATTTTATTTTTTGACACGTGATTTGAACCAAAGGACTGAGAAGCCAATGCATAATTCGTAGTTTGAGGGAGAGGGGGAGCAGTATCATTGCTCCAAAGGCACCGGCATGTTAAAGCTGAGACGATACTAGCTTTGTGCTCAGAAATCACAACGGGCAGACTCTGATATTGCTTTGTGTGCCCTGTCATTGGAAATAAATCATTTCCTTACATGAGAGCTTGGAAATCATGACCCTTGAGGGAATGCAGCCTCAGCACAAGGAGGCCAGAAGCAGCCCCCCTGCATCACCTCCCCTCCTCCGTCCCCCGAAACTGTCTCTATCACTTGGCACACTCGAGATTTCATTTTGAAAGGAGACGTGTGATTTATGTATAGTTTCAGAGACTGTCTGCAAAACAAGCAGCCGGCTCTTAGGCTGGGCTACATATTCAGATAAACCTCACTGAATGCCAATTCGCTGCAGTCCTCTGGCCGTAGCAGAGGAAAGGCCAAGGAAGCCACCCCACGCTCTAGCCATGCCTTGCCTTCCTTTTTTCCACATATCCTGTTTTCTTCCCACCCTTTCTATTTCCCTTTTTGTCGCTTAAATACAGGAAATACAGGATGCTTCTTTAGTCCTTTTTCCACGATGGTTTTTTTGAAGTGGTATACCACTCGGGGGTTGTTTTGTGGCATTCAGATGTAGGCTTTCCCACGGCCCTGTCTAGCCACTCCCGTTCCCTGCTCCACCACCCCTTACTCAAACCCCAGTCGAGACAGCTTCTCTAGGTCTGCAGCAGTGACAACAGAGCTGGCTGGCTGCTCTAAACCCCAGCACAGCTTTCATTCCTCTGAGGAGGTGTATGGCCTGTGTCCCACCCTCCACGCCACCCTGCCTGTCACAGTGCAGGTGGGCATGTCCTGCCTGCTGCAGCTGCCGCTGCTGTATGTCCTCCTGCCATCCATCCAGCACAGCACAGGGAATGAGGAATCCACGTTGCCTTAGACAGCACAACACCTCTCCGAGCCCCCAGGGGCAATATAATTGGCCATTAGATTGACATTTCATTCTGTAACTTTTATTTGCACCTATAGATCCAGGGGCTGAAGCCTGAGGAGCCTTCTCTCTATTATCTAGAAGTACAAATGGAAATCACATTGAACTATTGAGTTGAAGCCAGTTTTCTACGGTTATGTTTCTACAGGCTGTCTCTAGCCAAGAGTGAGCATATCTTTCCTTCTCCTCTGGTTAGCTAACTACGAATTATAACCCCTGTCATTTTCTTTGGGGGGTGGGGATTAGGGAGCTGTTCCAAGACCATTTTTTGTGTGTGTGAGACTTTATGTTTTGGAGAGCAGCATCTAGATGCCTCCTACTCACTCTGGGTCAGAGTTAGTTTTTATCTGGGAGAAATCAGTTTATCTGTGTGGGTAGCTTGGAACCACAACCCCTTCTTAGGAGGAGGAGCGGGCATGATCCTTGTGCCAATCCATCTGAGCTATGCATAAGGGTTCCAATGCATTCTATTGCACGTGTCAATGTGCTTATGTTTTTTTTCTCAATTATTGATTCTGTTTATTTCTGATTTCACCCCTCCCCCCACCGCCAACACACGCACTTTACTTTTGTCATGAACACATTGCCAGTTTTTAGCTCAGAAGAAACGTAATCTAAGGCCATGGGACTGTCTAAAAACACGGCTGAGCTCCACACTTTTTTGCATGTGGTCCATCCTGAGCACTGGCCGGTCAGGGCAGTGGTCTGCCGAGTCTGCAGAGCTGTACAGCCCCCAGGCCCAGCAGTGCAGGGTGGGAACTGCATGACCCAAATGAGCACCTCCCCGCTTCCTCACTCGCTCTGATGCTCAGACACTATGACTGGACTGTCAGCCAGAGCAATCTGCTAAGAGATTCCTTCAAAGATACTTAAAATATGCAACCATGTCAGCTTAGGATAAGGGCTCAGTCATTGGTTTCCATGCGTGTGAAACATACAATCTGTACTTGGTGACTGGAGGGTAAGGTAGGTGTTTCTATTATGCATTATTTACTTCACACACAATTAGTTCTCCTCTGGAAGAACACCAACTCTGCCGAGCTGTTATTCCCTCCCTTGAAATTGCTGAGGCCAATAAATTCCATGATCAAGCATATGCCACACACCACAGAATTCTGTGCCGCTGGGAATGTCCTACTGAGCTACACGGCTTCCAGACAAAAAGGCAGCTAATGTTTTACAGAAAGAAGTAGGAGTTTAGGCTCCAGGCCCCACATTCACTCCAATGGCACACAGAATTCTGTGCCTGATGCAGGGACTGTCTGTAGCTGTGTGCTCCTGGCCCAGCAGTGGCACCTGGAAGGTCAGTACCCAGAGCTGCTGAAATGGAAGCTCTGGAGGTGGGCCCAGCAGTCTGTGTGCCACCGAGCCCTCTGGTTATCCTCAAGTTTGAGAACTACTACACTGGAGTAGTTTCCTGTAGGGTTTATGTGTGTTTTACTTCACATAAAACACAACTGGGTCACTTCTTCTGTATCTCCGTGCACAGCACAGCTGAGCAGTGAGGGCGTGCTGCAAGCACACGTCAGAAGCCTGGAAGCAAGAGCTCTTTCCTCCTTTCTTTATCAAATCTGTGTGATTTCAGAGTGTGGTTCACTAAAGACCACTAATCAGTTGAATGGTACCATCTTAGGCAGGTTCCTGTTCCATAATCTGCTACAGCAGAATCAAGTTTGGAACATAACCTTCCCAAGCCACCACCACCATGCCAAAACCACTGGGGTCTCTTTCCTCGTGTGGCACCTCAATTGTTCTCAACCCTGCCACACATGAGGATTACTTGGGAAGCCTTAAAAAGAGAGAGAGAGATGACCAGGCTCTCCCCATACCCTGGGCATAGGGCCCAGGCACTGGTGCCTTTTAAGAGCCCCTCAGGTGGCACTAAGGTGCAGTCAGGGCTGGGGCAACCTGGAGTCACACACTTGCTGCCCTCCCTCCCCCAACTTCTTACCCGACCCTCTTGGTGCCATTTGCAGATAGGGAAACAAACGTCCGCATGATATGTAGAATGGGCCAGTGGGACAGGGAGCCCACGCTCGTAGGAGCAAGTGCGTTGTCCTCAGGGGCAGTGCCAGTCTCATAGTGGGGCTGCAGCGTTCTGTCTGATGTAGGTGTGTGGAGATGACCGAGGGAAACCTTCCCTTTTTCTTTCATTTTCATGTTGCACAGGTTGCCTGAGACCTCTAGCCTCTTCCAATGGCTACGTGAACATCTCTGAGTTCCAGACCTCCTTCCCAGTGGGGACTGTGATCTCCTATCGCTGCTTCCCTGGATTCAAACTCGAGGGGTCTGAATATCTTGAGTGCTTACACAACCTTATCTGGTCGTCCAGCCCACCCCGGTGCCTTGCTCTGGAAGGTAACACCTCTTATTCTTTCAGAAGCTGTATTTTGAATTAGTAAGTGGGTGTTTCGGTAGGAGGTGAAGAGCTGAGAAGTATGGTTGGCAATACTTTTGTCCCCTGAGTACATTTTTCTTGCCTTTGTCCAAAGCACAGATCACCTGCCATGAAGCCATACTTACAACTAGATGTAAAACTTGCTTCCCCCGTCTTTAGGCCTAAGGGGGAGGAGAGAAGATAAAAGAAAAAGTTGCAAGCATCACAGATTAAACTGCAGAATACCACAAAGTTAAATGAAATGTCTTCAAGAATTAACTTTCTCTGCACCAAATGGAAACAGATGTACTGTGGCATCGTGAATCTCGCCCCGCGTTTCTGTCGTGTCAGTGCTTCTTCATATCTCCATGCACGGCACAGCTGGGCCATGAGGGCATGCAGAAGCAAGCACACCTTGGAAGCCTGGAAGCAAGAGTTCTTTCCTCCCTTTGTCAACTCTGTGTGATTTCAGAGTGTGGTTCACCAAAGACCACTAATCAGTAGCATGGAGCAGTGACAGTGACAGGCAGTGTCTGTGGGGGCACAGTCCACAAAACTTCTGCCGGGCAAGTTGGACACGCTGGCTCAGCCCTTGCTTTGACTCAGGTCTTAGAATTATGCCCAAAGAGAACACACACCTATGTGCTTCTTGGCATCTGAATACAATGGGCAGGAAGGGGTCTTTATGGGGAAAGAAGAAAATCAAGGGGAACCTCCCATCAAGAGCCCGCCAAAGTCTGTTTGCAGCCTTGCTTGAGAAACAACCCAAGGAACAAGGGAAGGGGGAGCAAATGAGTTCTTACACGTTCACAGCATCTCCACGGTGCGCACCTCAACCTGTGAGGAAGTCAGTGTGTTGTGGAGTGACCACTGGTCAGAGGAATCAGAGGCGGTGTGTCTAAAGGAAAACATGGGACCTGGAGTGGGTTTGGCTGGTGCCTGGAACCTCCATGGA